AGATAGATAGATAGATAGATAGATAGATAGATAGATAGATAGGATGGATACCCAGTGAAAATTAAACTCATCATCAATGGCTTCAGAATTTCATCAGCTTATAATCGTTCGAAGACGGTTGTGTTTAGTTTGTATATAGGTAGTTTTATATTTACACATGGATGTTTGGACTTTATTCTTCAAATGACTTGTAAAAATCTTTTTTTTTTTCAACTTTGATTTTTTTACTTATACGTGTTTCACCTTTTTTAATTTTATTTTTATTTCTTAATTAGTTTTACTTTTTATTTCTTAATTAGTTTTACTTTTTATTTCTTAATTAGTTTTTATTTTTTTCTTTTTCTTTATTAATGTCCTCCCCTTACTTTTGTGTGCCTTTTCCTACTCACTTCTCGCATCTTTCACTGTTTCTTTGTTTTCTTCATATACTTTATTTGTGTCGTGATGGTTCTCTAGGGAATATCATTATTATAAAAAAAATAAAATATAAAATAATAATAATAATGAAATTTATAAATAAAATAAAATAAAACAATAATATTTAAACCTTGTTTGGAATAAATTAAATAAAAATAATAATATTACTCCCAGCATGTAACAGAACCTGTTTCTGCCGGAAATACGGGCATCCCGCCAAAAGACGTTATATTCGATCTGTTCACTCGTGAACCGTCGGGAAGACAACGTGTGTAAATTCTCTCTGTGATATGAGTTGTAATACTACCGAGTAAATTGCTCCCTTTTATAACATGTACATTAATACAATTGTAGCGTAAAACACTACATACAAATATATCAATAAAATTTATGAAATTAATATACAATTTACTCTCTTTTCTGTATGGTGTACATTTATTTTCCTGTTTTCTCTCGTGAAAACAAGCCTAAATTTCCTAACATCATGGTGTGAGTGAATAATCCACAGTTACCCCCACTTTTCTTATCTCTTCTTTTCCTCATTTTTTGTTTCCTTTCTTTCTTTCTTTCTTTCTTTTTCTCTCTCTCTCTCTCTCTCTCTCTCTAAAGTTTTCTCATTACCTTTTATTTATTTCTTTTACCTCTCTTCTCTTTAGCGCTCCTTCTCTCTTTCCTTTTCGAATTCTTATCTTCGCTCTCCTAACGATGCCTCTTCCTTTTTTCTAAAACATGTTTTCTCTTTGCTTCAGTATTTTTGCTTTCATTCCTTTTTCGTTCTTTCTTTTTTTTCAGTCGTTTTCATTTTTGCTTCGCATTTTCTCTTTTTATCGCTTGCCCTTCTTTTATTTACTCTCTCTTTTTCTCTAGTTTTGTTTGTTTTCTGTCTTTCCTTTTTTCTTTTTTTTTCTTTTGTTTCATGTCTCTTTTTCTCTATTTTATGAATTTCATGTTTTACTTTCTTTCTTACGTACTTCGCCCCACTTTCTCCTTTTTTCTCTTTTTTTTTTCTACAGTTTATTCCTTTCGTTCTTTTATTTCTTCTTTCTCCCTTATTCTTTCACTATTTTCTATTTTTCCTTTTCTTCTTGTCTCCATTCTCCTTCTCGTTTTACTTGCATTTCTTTCGTTTTGCTTCTTCTCTTCTTTTCTTTCGTTTTTTGTGCTCGGACCCCTTTCTTTGATTTGTCCCTTTTCTTCTCTTTCTTCTTTTCTTCTTTTCTCTTTTCCTTAATTCAACTTTATTGTCTTCTTTTCCCGCTCATTTTCCTTTTGTTCTTTTCCTTTTTCTTCATATTTTTTTTTCCTTAAGCGGATTCTTCTTCATCGCCACCTGTCTTCTTAAATAAGCTTCACAGCCTTTTGTATGTTCCATTCGGCCAGAATTGTGTAACGCAGACACGGAGACAATGCAAGGCAGCTGTTCGCTGACTTAATGCTATCTCAATTAGTCTCAATGTATTTCCGCTATCAAAGGGTCATCGGCTTGATGGACACATCCCACCAATCCTTTTGCAAAGTCTTCACACTAAGCGATAGTGATTTGAAATAATGTCGCGTAAGATTTCTATTACACACAG